GAAAACTTCTGATGGGATTCCGTAAAGCATCAAGCACTATTCCTCTGCAGGTAGAGTAACATTTCTAATTGTTCTATGAGTCATTTCTCATAGCGGATAAGTCGCTCTGTGTTCTTTTATGTATCCCTGAAAAATATATGTAACTTTCTTGGCGTTTGATTTACATTGGAGAATGCTGATATTGGTGTTGTTCACTAAGCAGGATTCACATATATCTGCCATTAATATTAGCGTGTTACAAAATGAACCGCTCTTGGCAGCTGCAGAGAATCTACCTATAATGAGTGGCTACTCTGGAATTCTTCAATCACTGAAAGGAAGCAGGAATTCTTCTATGAACATGCCATCTAAACATTACTACGGCAGAAACTCAAGTCCACTAATCACAGAGAAGAATGGGTCCAAAGCTGGAGATGGTATGCTGCCCCAATCATTGCCGCTTCCTGATCACAAAAGAAGTCGAAATATTGGCTCAAAGAGTAGGAGGTTACACATCGATAGTCAAAATGCATTGGAGCTGAAAGTTTCTTGGGAGGAGGTACAGGATATGCTCCGGCCACCTCTTAGTGTCAAGCCAAGCACTGCCACAATTGAGGATCAAGAATTCGAAGAATTTGAAGTAAGAAACTTTTGAAAATTTCTTTTTTCCTTCTATTGTTTCTTTATTGCTGCATGTACAGGAATTTCCTACATCTATTACTAAGAATCTCTGGTTTTGGCTATGCTCATCTTTGCTATTAGGAACCTCCTGTTTTTGGGAAGATGGCTATTTTTACCGTCCGCCTATCTGGGTAAGATAAAAAAAATTCATCAATCATATTAAAGTGTAATTTCTCCAGTCTAACAGAAATTCAAAGACTATTATGTCTCCCTTTATGGATCGAACTCTATGATAATTCCCATATCGTGATAAGTTAACTAGGTGTATCGCTGGCAAACATCAGTATTTTTGCCTAATTCTATGAGCCATCTATCAATCTAATTTATACTTGCAGTCACAAAAATCCAGAAGTGTATACTTACAATTATTTGTATTTCCTTCAATATCTTTTAGGGCTTAAATACTGAATGAACTTATGAACGTCTTTATCCAGGGATGAGCAGGAGCAGTGGGCTCAGTGTGATAGCTGCTTTAAATGGCGAAGACTTCCAGTTGATATTCTTCTCCCTCCTAAGTGGACATGTCAGGACAATGTTTGGGACCAAAGAAGGTTGGCTGTAATGATCAATGTTTACATACCAGATAAGGTGGAAAAATGTTTTTTTATAGACAAGAAGTTTAAGTGGATAATGCTGTTTTTCTATCAGATGTTCGTGTTCTGCATCGAGTGAATTGGGCCCAAGGGAACTTGAAAATCTTCTTAAAATGAACAGTGGTACGATAATTCGCCCTTCTAAGTTACTGAATACTGATGGTGTCAGCCAAGTTGGACCATCCTTTTTGTTTTTCCTCAAAGTGCAGGACAGTTGGGTCCATAGTTGATGGGCTGGGACCAGGACATCAAACTTGACATAATTACTATGTTCAATTAGTTGATTAGGAATACATTTGATTAGTTGATTAGGAAACTTCATAGATTTTGAAGAGAAATGCCAGTTTATGGTCATAATAACATCCTTCAACCCTTGAAGATGAATTTGATGAACTCACTCATATTCATCTGAGAATGAACAAGAACAGTATTTTGGTGGTCTCCACCTGCAATCATGCTTGTTATTTTAAAACTACAACGGCAGAATTGTTTTAAGATGTGTCATTTAAACTTAGTTAACTGTGTGCATTTTATGTAATCGGTTAATCTTACAATACCTGCTTATTTTCTATTTCATAGAGCTTAAAAAATGGAGATTCGCAACGAGCGACAAATTGGCAGGGGCACATGAATCTGCATTCCAAGAATCTTCGGTGAATGCTGCATCTGTTGGAGGTGACTTAAGCGAGCCAGGCACTTCATCTGTTGCAACCACTACCAAACATCCCAGACATCGTCCCGGCTGCTCCTGCATTGTGTGCATACAGCCTCCCAGCGGGAAGGGCAAACACAAGCCCTCATGCCTGTGCAACGTATGCATGACAGTCAAACGGCGCTTCAAGACCTTGATGATGCGCAAGAAGAAACGTCAATCAGAGCGTGAAGCGGAAATTGCGTTGAGGAATCAATTTACGGTGGGTCCCAAGGATGAAGCAGAGGTTGAAAGCATCCCGAGTCAGGCATATTCACAGCCTAATCCATCTGATAATGAAAAAAGATCAGGAAGTGAGCTGTTTTTCAGGTGCCTTGACAACAGTCATTCTCGAGAAAATGCTGAAATGCACAAGGGAGGATTGGACTTAAATTGTTGTCCAGATAGAGAAAATGTGGGTACAGGGTCGTTGCGAGTTAGCATGATGAGTCTCCTTCAGGAAGCTAGTTTGCCTTTGGACACATATTTAAGGCAGAATGGTCTTAAAAGCTTGGCTTCCGTCCAAACAGGCTCTCCACAGGCCCCCGAAGAGAGTGAAACTCAACTGCAAGAAGACTCTGTCCCTGCTGCTGTTTTTCAAGAGGATCAAGATGGTAACGACGAACTCTCTGAACCTGATCAAAGTGAAAATGCTACCTCGTGATCTTTTTCCCGTTTTGGTTGTTTTCAAGTTTTGTTTCCTGTCCAATCTGCGTAGAAATTTTCCTATATTTTTTTTATGATCTTACTCTATAATGGAGTGTAAATCTACATATTGTTTATAGAAGTATAGTTGTTATGAATTCTTGGCGAAAATGAGGGAAACTAAATACATCATACAAATGATAACTATGTTTCTAATGATAATATCGCCCCGTTTGTCCCCCATTATTTGAATTTATAATGGAGGAATAGTGTTTTCTTGAAAAATTGATGATTGTAAAAGAATGAAAGGTTTTCAATTTGTGTGTAATATTATTTTATTAAAGATTGTGTGGTTGAAAATAAGAGAGGGAAAATTTTAAATTAAATTGATGAGTTTTAATGGTGGCTAAACGGGGCGATTCATCAAATAACATCAAGTGATGAAGCATCATATAGAATATATCTGGAGATGGCCACGAAAAAGGATATACAACCAGCATTTTGGACCTGTTGAAACTAACAAACCTAAGATAACGAACTTTATTTACATTACACAGACCAACGAGCAAAACCAAAATTTCACCCTCTCTATGTCGTGTAAGACCTCAATGCAAAAAAATATATATATATATATATATATATATATATTACATTTTTCCCAAAATATTTTTTTTTTTTTTTTTTTTTTTTTTTTTTTTTTTCTTTTTTTTTTTTTTTCCCTTGAAAGCCAAAGCTTGGTCTCGTTTCTTTTTTTTTTTTTTTTTTTCCTCTTGAAAGCCAAAGCTTGGTCTCGTTTAAGCAACAAGCTAATCCTAATGTGTGGCTCGCGAGCTGCCTCAGCTTGGCGCCCAGCTCGTTGCCACCCTAAATTGTTGACTAAGAAAATAACTTTTTTAAGCGGTTTTAGAGAATCCCTAGTTTAAAACTTCTCCAAAAATCTCTACGGGAAATTGAAATTTATATTTAGTAAAAAAAAAAACTTTAATTAAAAAATTATCCTTATGAATTTGCTAAAATACCAAATATCCAAGTTATCAAACAAATCAATATATCAATGAAATTATACATTAATTTGTTTAATATAAAAATTATTTTTGTAAGGTTTATATTAACATATATATGAAATGTCATATATACGACATATGATCGTATGAAGGTATTTAAGTTATAAATATTTCTAATGGAAATCTAATTTTTATCCTAACATTTCGAAAGACCTACTAATACTATTCACTTATTTATTATTCATTCCTATCTATTTCTAATTTAAACCGATTATAATCTACTCACCAACAAGATATATGAATTAAAAATAATGTCATGCTAATTTAATTAAATTTTATTTTAATAGATTTTGTAAGATGGAAATAAATATTATTTGAATACATTATTAAAGTTTAGTGAGATAAATATGTAACATTTGTACAAATAATAAAACAAAAAAGCAATTTTGCAATATGATGTCAAACATTCCATTAATATTGATATAATTTTTTAGATTAATAACCAAATCATCAGCCCTTTTTGCTAAAAACACTTTGAAGAAGGTCTATTAGCAAAATTTTTGCGGAGAAAAGCTCCACTCCTAATAGTCATGCCAAATGGACCTTTAAATAATCATCACTTTTACGGCCTAAAACAGAAAGGGGTTAAAATAGAAAATTTTATACAACAATTTACAGTTTAACATCTTTTTTAGGTATGCAAGAATAGGATGGAATCTATCAAAGTCGACCGATTCCATCAAAGTTCATGGACTCAACTGGTTCATTGTGTAAAATTTTCAAAGTATCCAGTTCGATCTGGTAGTAATCGGAACTGGCTAATGGCTTGACGGGCATGTGTTGGTAAATGTTCCAAGATGGCAAGGGAAAGAAGAGATAACACTAAAAGGGGATAGATACAAAATATTTTCTTTCTTTAACAAAAGTTACTTATTTCAAACTCTGAATAGAATTGTATTTTTCTAATAATATCTCTAACCAAATGCAAGTTAATTTAAAAAATTGTTTGTGTAAAGATTTAATAATCAATTCTCATATGGATTTTCTTCAAGAATAAATTGATTTGTAATTCGTTAAACGATAATCAACCTGCATTGAATAACTTGATCTACATATCTTAAGTGAATTTTGCTCATTTATCATTATCCCGCTAGCAGGGGCGGACCCACTTGAGGCCGAGTAGGATCGGCCGCCCCCACTCGATTTTCAAATTTTTGATTTTTCTTGAGGTTTTTTCCTACGATTTTTTGGTTTTGCCCCCACTGAATTTTAATCCTGGGTCCGCCCCTGCCCACTAGTCTCTTGAATAGTTCAATACATGATTCATTCGAACTTCTACTTTCTTTCAACTTAATATCGTACAATGTGAATCTACATGTACTATTATTAGATACAAGAATTCCAAGACATTTTGAAGTGAATTTGTAGATTATTTGTAGAAGTCGAAGAGTCAATCCTATATAAATTGAAAAAAGGAAAAAAACTTAGTTTGTTGTTTTATTCACGTGAGTTGGCGCGTCTCGAGCAATGGATGCCGACAATTTGGGCAAGACGGATGTGAAACAAGCCATGTGTCTATGCACCTAACATGAAACCAGTGATTACATTTGGGCAGCACCCTAATCTTCTCCCCTTCCACAAACTCTCCTAAACAGATAGGGCATTCTGTCACTGGAATATTGGCTCCGGGACCGTACACCGCCACCGGAAGCTCCCGCAAAACCTGCTTCTTGAGGCCCGCGCTAGTGGTGGTGAGCCGTACATCAGCTCGTTCTGCCAACCTACGACGTAGAATGCATCGTACAAGTAAATTTAATCCAAGCAAAACTACAAGGGCACATACCAAGGCTGCCAGGATTACAACCATGTTGGCGTCGAAGTCCGACTCACTTAGGTGTGAACCTTTCCTCCCGGTAATGATTGGTGATGGCGGGCCGCTTGGCTCCGCCTCGAGAAGGTGGCGGTGATGTCTCATCACCACCAGTATGTATCTTGCTTCTTTGATTGCAAACGCTAATGAAGAAACATGTCTTATATAATAGGCCAACAGACAAAATATATTTTAGTAACTTCCACGTGCCAAATCATGATTATCTAGACAATATATTATGAATATTTGTACCAAATCTTACCAAAAACTGTTTTTATCTACACTCGATCAGTATATTTCACGAACTTACGAGGACAGACGGTCGCAGTTGATTATTAGTACCTTAATTCTTGAAGCCATTACAATGGCTAGTCGAGTATGAGCACATAAGTTAGTGTACTTTATAGTTAAGAATTTTGTAAAAAAATATATTGTTGGAATTTGACCCGATCATCATTTAAAAATAAAAAAATAAAAAAAATTCTCTTCTTCTCTTGAAACTAGATTGGATGTATGATACGTAATATTTGTATCGTATAGTATATATCGTACTAAACAAATCATGAATACACTAATTGCCCTGGAAAACCTAACCCGAAGAAAGTGCTTAATTAGGTAAATTAGATAAGCTGATTGGTTAAGCTAAGTTGATGATTTAGCTGAAGTTGCATTAGCCAACCTAATCAGGAGCAAACTCACCAATGTCTCTCTAAAATTGACGAGAAAATATGTTTTTGTATGCAAAGATAATATTTTGAGTTACGTTCTAATGTCCTAAATCATCATAAACTCTTACCTTTCCAATGTAGAGACTAGAGATTAATGCTAAAATATAAATTACTTGAATAAATATTTAATATTTACTTATTATTCTTATAATAGTATATATACTACATGAAGCCCATTGAAAATAGTCTTTTATTTGATTGAAAAAGAACTAAGTAAATTGATGTTTGAGATTTTTTTTCCCTTTATACACATAATGCTTATATATGTCACTTCGTCCATATAGACTTATCTTGCATCGAAAGTTCACAACAATATTATTGGAGATGCCATATATAAATTATTAGGTTACTTAAAGTAGGTAAACAACTTTTTGATCCTTTCAATCTAATTGGCTAAAAATTGAAAAAAATAAAAAATTTATAAATATTAAACAATAAAAATGTGCGTCTAGATGCCCCTTAAGCGATCAAAACTTCTGTTGGCTGCTTAATGAGCTGCCCAAGCCCTCGGCATGGAAAAAACGCCATGCCATGTTTTTACTCCAACTAGAAATATATAACTTTTTGCTTAGCTTTAATGTCGAACATGTAAGTGTTATGCCCTAAGTCTAATCAATCTTGGACATGAATACTTTTGATATATAATTAATGAAATTTAATGGTAAATCTATTATTTAATTAATAGACAATTAAATAAATAATAGAGTCTGTAGATTCAAATCTTCGTAATTTGTTAATCACAAGAAGTTGTGATTGTGAGATACAAATTATATATGATTGAATCTTAAATCATCCGTGGTCGTAAGTAATAACGAGATACGGATATCGTTATTACGGATAGACCATCACGTGTGGCATTTCTTACTTGTGAACTAAGTAGCTAATCTCACAAGTTAAAGTGTGGTGACACTTAAATGAACACGCGGATATTTTGTTATAGAATAAAACATTGGAGACCCACCAAGAGATTCCACATGGATAACTATTTGAGTGTTAGTTGTTAATCTCTAACGTTCGGTAGTGGAATTGGTTCTTTGACTTGAGGTCGTCATGGTGCCTTATATGGGACAGTCATACTTTGGCGGTGTTGCATGTTGCTCTGCAAAGGGCCGCTAATACGACATCGTTCAAGTACGCCAAGAATCGTTTGAATGTTGTGATTGATCAATAAAGGATTCGTCACTCTTAGATAGTAGGAGATTATGATCTGCGTTTCATTCAATTAAGTCGATAACGAAATCCTTGGCCAAGGTGCACTCATAAGTCGAAAAGGAGTTTTCGACTTATATTGACTTAATAGTGAAGTGAAAGATATGATCGATATTCAAGATTGACACAATTTCATATCTCGTAATTGAACGGATCATATTGACGAAGGGATTATAATTTCACGGTAAACGAACGAGTTTAGTTTTGTCATACCACATGACATTCCCCGTCACATGCATTGCCCTGACACATTGCTAGATGTCAATCTGGGACGGCGAGTGTGAATTAGTGATAAATTAAAATGGTGTTTTAATTTATCAATTTTGATTATATCAAAATAATATTTCACTTCGTTAGACATCGTGATCGGGAACCTGATGGGTCACACACAAAAGAGAATTGGAAGATTACAATTTGTCAATTGATTAATTTAACAATCGTTCGATAAATTAATTAATTTTGTTAGTTATTTATAGGCCCGATTTAATTAATTGGATTAATTAATTTACGAACCGGATTTAATTAAATGAATTAATTAAATATTGGACCAGACCCAAACCCGTTTGGGATTATATAAATACATGGCTAAGGTTTTCGATCCATATGTTTTTCTCATAATTATTCTTGCTAGCACAAGAGGAGAAAACACTGGTAGCTGCAATCTTGTTCTCTGTGTGGATCACCGTTGGAGGCTGAACAATTGAACAACTGTGAGTGACGAATCAAGATTGCTGGAATGAAAAGAATGGCAAAGAAGTTTGTAGATCTGAAAAGGTACAATCTTTTCACAATTTCTATCTAAACACAAAAAGATTCCTGGTGGGAATCGAAATCTGTTTTAATTTTTCGCTGCGCATATTAAGTAGATTCCCAACAGTGATATCAGAGCATACTTTGTGTTTGTTAGAGATTGTCTTAAATTTTTTGGAACAATCAAAAGTTAAGTTTGTTCTTTTCTTGTTTCTAGCAATTAAGATGTAATTTGATTTTCATTCCTTTGAAATCTGATTTAAAAAGAAAATAAATCAGCAGCAGTGACGCTTGTGGGCGGCAGGAAGCCGTCGCTGTTGGATAGCGGCGGCCTCCGCCGCAAAAGCTAAGGGGCGGCGTCATTGTCCCTCATTAATAAATGACCGGCATCGCAGGGAAGGGTATTCTTCTAAGGTTGTCAAGATCGGGTGAAAAAAGTTGAGACGGGGGCTCAGGTTATAAATTCAAAGATGTTGAGCCCCTGTGTGCAATTTCAATTCAGGGTCAATTGCAATTATTTTAATGAAGGGCCTGCCTGTAATTTTCGAAATTGGAGGTTCCTGATTATAAATTTAAATTTGTGTCAAGATGCAATTTTCAAAAGAGTTTTGAATTTGAATCTTAAAATGGTTTTAAATTTGATTTTCAAATGGGTTTGACTTGAAATTTCAATTTTGACCCAAAATAAAATTTTATTTAAAATTGACAACTTTTTATAGTTTCGTTAAAATATGATTTTGACTTAAATATTACATTTGACCCCAAATAGAATTTTATTTTATTTAAGAGTGTTATCCTATATTAAATTAATTCTATTAAAATTAGATTTTGACTCTAATTTAACACTTAATTAAAATTCGATTTTAATTAATTATTCAAGCAACTATGTTATTGAAGTTAGAATTGAATTCTAATTTGACATTTAATTAAAATTTGATTTTAATTAAATTGTCACGTCCTGAATTTCTTCTTGAAATTAGAGTTTGACTCTAATTTGCTATTTAATTAAATCAATTCACCCTAAAATTTGTTTCAGTCAGAGTTGGACTCTAATTTGATATTTAATTAAAATTTTGATTTTAATTAAATTAATTCGCCCTAAATATTAGAATTAGAGTTAGACTCTAATTTTTTTATTTAATTAAAATTTGATTTTAATTAAATTCAACCGTCTTAAATTTTGAAATTAGAGTTTGACTCTAATTCGATATTTAATTAAGATTTGATTTTAATTAAATTATCCTGCCCTATAATTGTTGAAATTAGAGTTGGACTCTAATTCGATATTTAATTAAAATTTGATTTTAATTAAATATGCCCGCTAATTAAATTAATTAATTAATATGATTAATTAATTATTTAATTGTTCCAATCCATTTGTCTAAAGGAGTTTAGAAGTACTTAATTGTTAGAAATTTGAAACATGTTTGCATATAATATTTTGTGAGCCTGCGAGCTCTTAATTTTTTTGGACTTGGGAGCCAGTTATTATTGTTATTATTATGGGTCTGCGAGCTCTTAATCATTTTGAACCTACGAGTCCGTTATTGTTATTGTTGTTATGGATCTACGAGTCCAATTTCATGTAGGCCTGCGTGCCAATTAGTATATGATACATGTTGCAGTTGGACTAATTGAAAAAACAAGAAGAGGAGGAAACCATGAAGATGGTGCATTGATACTGTTTGATGTTATACCCCCTAGGAATTGACCAACTAGTCTTTCTTATGGCTCGGAAAAACTAGATAGTAAAAGTTCATAATCGTCCACACTATTATATGATGTTATATATATATTTATTTGCATGGTAGATGTATAATAAAATATATATTATTGTTAGGATGAGACCTTTGAATGCAAAATCCCTGTATAAAATATTAAGTCACATTTATAATTACCTTCCATCATTATAGTGAAAAATCAGAATCCCAAATCGTCTCAACTTGTTGAGTACACTCAAGGCTGGTCTATTAGGGATATGTTTGACACTATGAAATATTGGATATTTCTGAATGATGGGTTCGACTTAATTAAAATTTATCTTTTGTTGAGTACACTCAAGGAGATAAATTTTAGAGGCATGTTAAGCTAACACATAAGATGTGTGAAGACAAAGAGTTGTCAGCTTAATGATTTGGGAGTTGTATGGAGATACAATTAATAATAGTATCTACCCAAATGTTATATTAAGGTTTGTTGAGTACACTCAAGATCTTAATATAATAGATGAGATTCCAGCCCACTGAGAATCAAGTATGGACTCCATAAATTTATGTAAGATGGTCATAATTTTTAGTTAAACAGTGGGAGCATGATTAATATAATGAAAGTTCGTGTTAAATTAATTGATGTATTTTATAAATTATTCTTTTTCTTTTCGTCATTTACATTTATATTGAATCTTGAGTAACCATATGTTTTGAATGACATATTGGATGTTAACAACCAAACTGAACTTTCTTAATTGGCACTGCAATCTGAGAATTATTCTCAGGCATGAGAAAATCGATTATGTCCTTGAGTAGTCCTTTCTAGAGATGTATGCTGATGATTTGATCAAGAAAGAGGTGGCTGCTATAATAAATGCAGTGATGACAATAGTACTGCAATGTATATGATACTTGCAACTATGTCACCTGAGTTACAGAAGCAACATGAGAGTA